TTTTAAATCTTTGAAAATATATAAACTTAATATCAATAGATGGTATTTTGCACTCTTTGATACATTTGCATTTATAATGAACTTCTTTATCACAATCATCAGAACAAATAAAATCATCACATTTTACAATTGGACATTTGCATACTAGTATATCAAAAGGTTTATCAAGTTTTTCTTTAAAGTTTTATTATTTTTTTACCTCCTTTTTTTCTTGGACAAGCTATTGCTGAAGCGTTGTTCCACAAAGTCACTATTTTATCATAAATTGTTTTGTCAGTAATTAATTTAGGTGATGTAAATTTTAAATTAACACTCAACCACTGGTGTAATAAGGCTGGAAGTATATCTTTGGCTATCTCTTTTACAGGATAGTTTCTTTTTTTTATGTCTTCGCAGCCCTCTCTTAATAAAATTGCGTATCGTATAACGTCTCTGTTGGTTGGTAATTCTAAAAAAAAAATTTTTTCCTGTACCAAATGCAACATTAATTTGCGTACTAGTACTTATTCTGGTTTTGGGTGCCATTATTCCTCCAAGTTATAAAATATTTAAAGAGAATTTATTATTTTTTAGTAATGAAAAAAATTTTTTTTGGAATATTTTAGTAATGAAAGCAATCAATTAAAAGTTCTTAAATTTATATTTAACAATATGCAGTTTGCAGTTGTTTACTTTATGTGGCAATGAAAAAATAATTTACTGACTATTTATTATTAAGATAAAAAAAATATGTTTAAGTAAACTTTTTTCTTAATAAAAAGTTATTTTACGCATTTAATACAAAAATTTTTCAAATATTAAATTAAATGATTTTTTTATAAACTTAATGTAACTTTGTTTTGTTGTTTAAAAGTCTGTTTTTTTTTTTGTACAGTATTGTCCGGTTACGTCATTATTCCATTTAAAAGGAAATAAAAACCGTTAATACTTTCATAAAAAGGCTAATCATCGAAGTAAATATTTTTCTGATTTAAAAAAATTTAACAGATTTAGATTCTCGATAAAATTTCGAAACTTTTATTTATACCCCAAATTTTATTAAACTTTTTTTTCAAAAAAAGTATAAAATTGACACCCTAATATATATATAAATTTATATATATGTGTGTATATATATGTGTGTGTATGTATATATATATATATATATATATATATATATATATATATATATATATATATATATATGTGTGTGTGTTTATATATATATATATATATATATATATATATATATATATATATATATATACATATATATATATATATATATATATATATATATATATATATATATATATATATATATATATATATATATATATATATATATATATATATATATATATATATATATATATATATATATTGCTCTTATGTGGTTAAAACTAGTTTCCATAACACCATTTTATAAAAATATTACACGATTTCATGTCATGAAATTGAATGGAGTTAATAAATTTGAATTGGCTGTTGGGATTTTTTAACTTTTAAGTTTTTAACATCATAATGTTTAATCATCAGTAATAATAACCTCAAAATTTCAACAGTCTTATACCAAATGAAGCAAATGTTACTTTAATTTTTCTTTCAATTTAAATACTAAATAATTTTACGTTTATAAAGTAATGCTAAAGAAATCTGGATAGCATTCAAACCTCATTTAAAAAAAAACATCTGAAAAGATTTTTTAAAAATAATTAAAACTTTAAAAAAATAAAACAGCTTTGTCTTTTTAAATTACTTTTTAAAGAAGTTTTACTATCTAATCATTACTTTGTATCATTACAACTTTATATTTAATTACTTTATTAACGCTTCATCTGAACAATTTGTCTTGTATCATTTTAACTAACGAATGCAAATTTTGCCTATACAAATAATACAAATAAAATATTTTTGCCTATACAAATAATACAAATAAAATATTTGAGATAATTCATTCTTATTTATTGCATAAAAAATACTTAAAAAAAAAAAAAATGGAACATAAAAGTATAGCAAATTCAATTAGTACAGAAATATTCTAATATGGTATATCATTTAATAATAAAAAATATAAAATTATTGTTTTATTTGCCTAAAATATGCCTTGAGGAAGCAAAGATCACTTAAAGCTGGGTCTTCATGTCTCGATCGAACTTTTGTACAAATTTTACCAGCAACTGAATATTGTTCTGCAACTTTTGAATTAACATTAAGGGCTTAGTTTGTTCTTCCGACATCACTTCTCTCTCAGCTTCTGACTGCTCTTCTGAGGAGGTTTCCATGTTAGTGTTAAATATCTTTGTGTGAATACTGAAAAGATTCAGAAATAATGTTTTTAATTAACAAAATTTCAGCATCTAGAATAACGATGTCAGATGCAATATCAATCAATGCTTTTCTAATACAGTTATTTAGTTTGTTAAATCTTATGTCTATAAAAATTGTTAATTTTTATGTCCATAATGAGTTTCAATTGTTTTCCAAATTCTCGTTTCACGTATACTTGAAGAATATTATTTGATGTTCTCGAAAAATGAAATTTCTTTACAATCAAATAAAGTTATTTGATAAGAAAACTATATCCAAGTTCTTCAGTCTCAACATGCTCAATTTCATTATAAGTTTGTTTAATCAAGCCAACATTTTCTGTATATGGGTGAGCCACCATTTCAGTTGTGTTCGAATTATTATACAGAACATCAGTTACAGCTAAAGGTATTGCATATGGGAAGCCTAACTGCTGATTACATGGTAAACACTGTCCAACTTTTTGCATCACAACTGCCCCATTAGCTGTTATAGACATTATATCTTTATCGATATTTAGATTGTTGTCTTGCAATGTGGTTTTCTGAGCCGTAATGCATTTCTCTGCAGGGAAACGTCCTTCAACAGGTACTAAACCTAAATTCCAAAACTGTTTCTTGCCACGGACATTCGCATTTATATAACATGGGTTTCTTGAATATGTCTATTCATCTAGAGTTAAGCAAAATCGTCATTTCATCTTCTTTGAAATTAATAAAATGCTGCATTTTTTTGTGCGTATTCTAAAACAATATTGCGGATTGAGTTAGGTAATTTTGGTGATACATAATCTCGAGCACCTCTAGCCATAAGAAAAGTTTCTAAAATTGATAGGCGTACAGAAAATTTTGAATGGCATATTATCCAGGCACACATTGGTGATACGATTTCAGAAAATGATTCATCTTTTTTGTTGACTAAATAATTTGTAATCATTATTTTTGATACACTGCTTTCTGGAACTTAATCTTGCATAACATCCCACTTTAATACATTAATATTGTGTTCTTAAATGCGTGTACTGCGGTGTTGTCATTGAGCCAGTGATTTTTACTACTTTATAACATTTTTTACATTTTGCTGTTAGTTTTTTTAATCTTCTCAAAAAATAAATCCAAATAGAAAAAAATGAATCCAAATAATTTTCTTTTGAAGACATTTTAGAATGTATTATTGATAATAGTTTAACTTGTTAAAAAAAAATTTAAGTTAAATAATTATTAATTTATATTGTTAAATTAAAACTGCAATTATTCCTGCTATTATTTGCTTACCTACTTAAAAAAACATTGATGATACCTATTTAAAAATTATTGATCTAAATAATTAAATACACACCACACTCGAATAACCAAATTTCAACTCAGTTGCAAATCGTAAAATATAAGCCACAAACACGAAGTTATACGAAATAAAGAAATCATTACATATGGATATGAAATGAAGAATGAAACCGTTAACTGCAGTTTAGGAATGTTTTCTCTATCTACTTGTATTATATAGAGTAACTGTAATTTAGTATCGTTTTCTTTATTTTAATTATATTTTATATTATATTATTATAATTATAATTATATTTTATATTATATATTATATTATTTTCTTTATTATAATTCTATAATTAGAATGTAGAATATTTATATGTACAGAAACCAAAACACAGCTTAAAATTTGGAGCACGAAAAAATCAATTTTAATTTCAAAATTTGCTGGGAAATTTTCGGAATTCGAAACTATATTATGAAAACGAATTTCGGAATTCTCGAATTTCGAGATGCAATTCCTAGTTACAACTTAATTACTTTATTAACGCTTTATCTGAACAATCCTTTACAACATTCATTACAGTCTTTACAAGTTATACAAAGATTATTCCAACAACGATTATTGTTTTAACTTTTTTCTGGCTTGATAAAAATGTCTTTCCTTTTTAATTAAGTTATAATCTAATTAAGTCCTATTCTTTTCTAATTCTTATTAATCTCTTTTTTCATTAATTTTTAATCCCTTTTTGCTCGTTAGCTTTAACAACGATATTATATTTTTCTAGATATCTACCGAAATACTTTGTTTCTTCCAAAAAAACTTTAGATGCATAATTTTTTTTTTTTTTTATTAAGAACACTTGATCACTTGATCCATAACTTATGTTAAACTTAATTGGTAGTTGTAACAGTCTCTATTATGGGAGTGATTGGGGGGGGGGGGTATTGCTTTTTAATAACGGAGCTAAAAAGATTAAAGCAAACAGCAGTAAAAGTAGAAAATAAAATGAAAGATTTTTCAACTAGTTTTTAGGCAAATAAAAACTTTTATAATTTGCTTATAAAAACAAGTAACATTTAATATTTTAACTCTTTTAATTCTTTTACTTTAAAAGCCTCCAATCCAAATTTTTGAGCTATATTTTTCTGGCTTTTAGTATATTTTTTAAATTATATCTTGAACGATACTTAATATTTATAAATGGAGTTTCTGATTATGACTTCGACATACTACACTTGCATTTTTACAACCACAATCTCTTCTTTTACTTTTTACTACATGTAAAAAAAGACCTTTTAGCCCCATCTAGTAATATCTGCCTATTCGACAATTAAGCTGGGACAGTGCGAGTTTGAGAACAAAATTTAGGTCTTTGCTATACTACTATTAGTTGTTACCTCACAATGATTTAAATGCGTGGTTTTTAATAATAAATGATTTTTTAGACTTGTTAAAGATGTTTCTGACCAGCAAAAAGAAGAAAGTTTATTGGAGGAAGAGTTAAAACATATGAGGTTAAGAGAAAAGAGTAAGTCTTTAATTTTTTTAATTTCTATTTCTTATAAACATGTTCTATAAATTTACTTTTATAAATTAGTTAATTTATAAACCAATTTTTTTTTTTTTTGTTTATTTGATTTTTAACATGGTATAAATTTTATTACTTAATTTTAAAAAATTTCGTTTTATATTTCAAGAAGCATTTTTAAGACAAGTTGAAAAAGAGAAATCACTAGGCTGCAAAAACTCAACCTGTCTTACGACAACGAACAAACGTAAATCATCTGAAAATGAATCGGACGAGATATCAGATTACGAAAACGACTAACAATATAGTTGTATAATTGTCGTAAAAGTTTTTGTTGAAATAAAAATAATTCAGACCTTGTTTTTAACCTCTTTTATATTTGAAACATATATTAATATATATATAAAATAGTTGCAATATTTTATGAAGTAGCACTTTGTCATATTTTTTTGAAGCGACATTTAATTATCTTTTTACTGCAATAAAAAATTGATCTTATGAGTTAGCAAAAAGTGCACTGTAAAATTGCCTAATTTCAGGAATTATCTTTTTCCGGATATCCAAATTGTTTTCCATACATGCAAATTTAGGTACATGTTTTTATAATATATTTGATATTTTTTAGCTTTTTCACTCCATTCATACAAAAAATAATAAAAGTTAAAATAAAATTAGTAAACATCTCAGCTTTTTAGCAAAATTAAGAGTAATATAAGGGAATATATATTCCGGATTTTTTCCGAATATTTTCCCCAAACAATTTTCTGGATTTTTAAAGTATAACCTGGATAATCTATGTAATTTATCTTTCCCTTTCAAATTTTTTTTAAATATAAATAAGTCTGTCAAATATTGAGGAAAGTGGAATAGCTCCTCAATAATTTGATTTGGCTGTAGTCTCCTTCCTCACCTATTAACTTGTATAGTATGAAAAACTAAATGATTCAAATTTTGTAGAAAAACTAAATGATTCAAATTTTGCAAGCAGCAACGCAACATATGAAGTCAAAGAAAGCATAACAAGCATACTAAACGATGTTCAACTTAAAAAAAGAAGTGTTTTACAAACTGTGTAACTATGGTTTACAAACTCAGTAAAGTATAAATATTCGTCTATTGTTTTTTCCGAAAAAAATACAGGAATAAAATAATCACAGTCATAAAGACAGTCAAATAATCTTATATGACTGTACAAAGTAAGAGATTTAAAACAAACTTGAATAAAAAAAAAAAAACTAAGAATAAAAAAAAATTGTTGGTACTTTAGTTGAACCTTTTAATACTAGAAGTATTTAACGATTCATTGCTCAATGTTAAAATCCTATAAAGGTTGCAAAATTTGAATTTTGAAAATTTGTTAATACCGGTGGTTCAATTTATAATCATTTTTATCTGTCTATTAGCTAAAAAAATGTAGCTAGCAATCTTCATTGCCAAATCACTATATTCATGGGTATGACTTATTGTTAACTAGCTGTTATTTACTCAAAAGTTTTAATATTAAAGTAATTTTAACTTAGAACACTGTTTTGCAGCTTGCATGCTATTGCTTTATTTCCAAAAATTTTCCTTATATTTTTTTAATGAAACCACCGTACCAAATTCATGTTGATTTACCGTTTTGCACAAATATCTTTAATTAGGTTCATTTAAATTTCACCACCTTGACCATTAGTTTTTCGAGATCTCAAGTGTTCGAAAGGTTCTGTAAGTTGTGTATTGATTCTTTATTACATTATATTATAATAATTAATTTCAGTAAAAAGCTGATTTATTACAAATTTTATTAATGTATGCATATGGTGGACTTGCTCAATCAATAAACAGTTATTTAGTAGCAAAATTTTTAAAAAATGGCAGCTTTAGACATTTTCCTTACTTTAAAAAAAGAAACAAGGTCCTTAACATTTTACAATTTGTAAAATTTTGTAAAAGTTATATGGTGTAAAAAATTAATCTAACATCAAATATTGTTCTTTTCTTTAAAGCAGATAGCAACTAAAATATAAAGTCGAAATGCAAAATGCGGAAATTTTTACCGGGTAAAACGCGGAAGTGTAGAGCGGAAATTTTCTCGTAACCCTAAACAATATCGCTGCCTCAACCCAAATTCTGGGTCAATGTTGAAGCACTCCTCTGCATGCTAAATCAGTCAATGTATGTATTAAAGCCCTTAACCTTATTTCCAAACTTTATTCCCGCGTTTTGCACTTCTACATTTTACCAATGACGAAAATGTTACACGAATTTTTTGTACGAAAATTTAAACAAGTTGCAATATATATTTCTTATGTTTAAAAATTGCAACTTTAATACGGCTGTCGCGCGGTGGTTCGAGCGCTTTCATTAGAAGCAGGAGATCAAGGTTCGAAACGAACTCTAGACATATTGAAAATAATGATTTTTAAAACTTCAAAAACCAGACATTAGTATTTGATAACTTGAATTAAAAAAAGAACTAAAAGTTTTTTCTAACTCTAAAAATTAGACTAACGCTAAATGCTCAACAAAAACTTCAAATAACAATTTGTAAATAAGGCTATCATTTACTGAATAAATTTCAGTATATGAATGTGACAGTAAAATAAATTTAAAATTTTTATTTTTGTCCTCATTTAGTCTAATTTTCAGAGCTTTTTGATATTTTTAAAAAACTTTGAATTATTTAGTAAAATTTTCAAAATCTAATGTTTGACAAAATTTTGAGATTTCTAAAATTTAATTACTGCAATAATTTAAAAAAATGAGTTGTCATGAATGACTTTACTTCAGTAAAAGAATTAACGTCCGGTTAATAGGATACTTTTTTGTAACATTGAAATGTGTTTGTTTACCTTCTGGATGTTTTTTTTTTTTTAATTTTTTTTACATCTTTGCTTCCAAAAAGACTGCAAGCAACCACTATTTGAGTTAAAAGTTACTGGAAGAAAAAAGATGAAGATTGTAGAGCAAAATAACGATTGACAGACGACTTAAAAGATTACAAACTATATAAATCGGAAAGCAAGATGAAGGAAGCGAATTCCAAAGAACTGATGTTTGAGGAAAAAAACTAGATTAATAAGGCTTTTAGAGCACTTAGGAAGAGTGACAGAAAAAGGATGAGAGTTAATTAGCTGACAAGTGACACAAGAATGAATTTTAGTGGGTGGCACAAGAGGCACTAGCTCTTAAGAGCAGTACCCATTATAATATTTGTAGAAAAGAGAAAGAGAAACAACATTACAACGATGTGATAATGGTTAGAAGTTGGCTGCAAGAGAGTTGTAAGATGAAGAACTCAGAAGTAAGAGTTAATCCTAGAAGATGAAGGGTAGATAACTCATTGAGCACATTACCGTTCATAAATATAGGAAGATCTAAATTATTACGACAAAGATTGGCTGAAAAAATTGAGTTTTATCTGAATTATAGTTCACCAGCCACTGTGAGCCCCAGATCAAATGCCCCCTTCCAAGCAATCAGAGAGTGTTGATTTCTTATCATGACAAGAATAAATGGTAGGATGATCAGTGAATAATGCCACCTTAGATGTGAGAATATCTGGAAAATTGTTAATGTAAAAAGAATATAGTGCCAAAGATAGAACCTTGAGGAAACCCTGAGGTTACAGAATATGAAGAAGAATGCTCTCCATCAAGGACAACTTTTATACTACGATTGTTAGGAATAGATTCGATAATCTTAAAGATGTTACCAGATACACCGTAAGATGAAAGCTTATGAAGAAGACCAGCATGCCAAACTTTATCAAAAGTTTTAGAAATGTCAAGAGTTATAGCCTTAGCTTCTCACACATATTTCTGATGCACGATAAAACCTATCAGTTATTACTGTGAACAAATCAGCAGTTGAACGAGAAGATTGAAATCCATATTGATGATCAGAAAATAAGTTTTTAGATTCAATATGAGAGATTAAGTGTTTGTCAATTAAAGATTCAAAAACCTTGCTTATGATAGTAAGAAGATTGCTGAGACAATATTTAGATGAGTCAAATAATAAATAGTTTTGAAAGTATTGACGACAGCTCCAGAGAACACTTCTGCAAGAGTATAACAGGTATTTTGTCCATAAATACAAACTGTAGAAGAGTCTAAGCAGGAAATCACTTTAGATACAGAAGCTGGAGTGATACAAATATCAAGCAATTGATCAACCTGTTAGATAGCTAAATCCAATAGAACGCAACTAGTGGAATCAAGAGATTATATTGATGAAAAGTTTTTAGCAAACAATTCAGTTTTGTCTTTAGGTGAGGTAAAAAAGTCTGAGCCATGCAAGAGAGGTGGAATAACAGATTTGCCCTATTTATTGATATTATTAAAGATTATCCAGAAGTCACAAGAGTTTAATTTTATGTAATAAAATACGAGATTTTATGATCTGAGAACAGCGTGCTTTGGCATCAGATAAAACATTTTTTATAATGGTTTCTAGCAGTAATAAACAGTCATCCGTTTTATGAAGAATTGCTTTACTGATAGATATGGAAGTAACGGTTTTGATTGGAAATTGCAGCATCACACATCACATTTGAGGAAAACCATGGAGAAGAGTGAGGCTTGACCTGGAATTGTCGAGTGGTAATAAAAGATTCTATGCCAGCCTAAATCCACGAAGTTATATAAGAGGCACAGTTGTCAGCAGGAAGACAAAAGATTTCTACCCAAGGGCCATCACGAAGAAAATAAGTCGATCACATAAGTTGAGTAGAGAAGGTAAATGATTCGGGTTGCCTGGAAATCGAGTTGGAAAGTTGACCATTTGATTTAGGGATTGAGAAAGGCAAAAGTTGTGGGTTTTAACGTCTGCTGAATTGCTGATACTAGAGTCAAGTCATTCAGTGTGATGAGCATTAAAGTCAATAACAACAACAATATTGGCTGATGGATAAAGAGAGTGGGCTTGGTCAGTTTGAACAGAAATAACATCAAAAAGAGTGCAGTCTTGAGATGAAGGAGAGTAATATAGAACAAAGAAAAAGGCAATAGAGTGAAGTGGTGCTAAACGATAGCATATAAAAGAATAGTCTGTGAATACAAACCTATTTTACCAACAGCTATTTTAACAACAACATTTTATCGGCAATGGCGCAGTGGTTAAAGCACTTGCTTTTTAAGCAGGAGATCCAGATTCGAAACGAGCTTAGGACATATTTCGCCTTACGGTAAAGAAGGAGGCGTTAACTTCCTGGTTAAATGCACTTCCGCGGTGCTCTGTGGCAAGACCGTTAGGACTTCTTGGGGCACCTAAAATAACAAAAAAAAAACAAATGGGTGAATGACCTTGACATTTACGAATGTAAATGCCAAGGTTAAGCATGTGACTATTGGAGTCTTTACGAATCAAAGGAAGATAACTATC